GCATTTAGCCTGCCATTAGCAAGCTCTTTGTCATGGTGGAGTCTTGATTCATTTCCATTCACTTCAATCATATATTCACTTCCTTCTTCCTTTTAGCCTCCTCCTTTCTTGCCTGGACCTCCTTCTCTTCCCTTTCCCTGTATTCCTTCTTCTGCCTGAGCTTTTCCCTGGTCTCATCTGAGGTCATAATCTTTAGCATTCTATCATCAAATATTCATGAGTTCTCTGTTGTTTTTCCTTTCTCCTTCTTGTATAGAGTATTCTAGAGCCTAGCATTAAGAAGGGAGGCCAGAACAAGCTGTGCTGACCATAGAATAGGACTGTTAAGAGATGAGGAACAAAAAGAGAGAAAAAATTATTTATTTAGTGAATGTTACAGACTAATACCCTCAACCAATGTGTCATTAGGACTGTAGGTCAGTGTAGATCAGTGCAGATCAATGTAGATCAATGCCGATCATTTTACTCTCTTGTCACGCTTTTTGAGCATTTTTAACAAATTACACAATATTAATTTAAGGACTGGTCCATTCAATATGATAAAACATACATATTGTAGCTCTGAAGTAGAGGAATACAATAATATAATTTTTATGTTGAACACTGTAGCATAAGTAGTAGTAAAAAATTTGTCAGTAGTCTCATATTTGGAATTCATTCAATTTCAGCAGTATTGAATTTCTATACACTTTTCTACTGAATCAATTTCCTTCAGAATTCATATATATATAGTACATGTATGTATCTACATTTCTCTATTTTTTTGAGTTTATTGGTTGAGTTATGCATGAATTAGAGGGGGGTGTTCAAAGGAACGTCCCTGTTTAAAGGAACAACCAATGCCTGTATAACCTAAGTAGCTTAGAATAATGTAATAAAGCCTTTTACACTAACACTAGGTGATCTGACACTATTAGTCCTCTAGTTATAAATATTAGTGTTCTGAGAGTATGTGACTGTAAAGGTAATTAATCTAAATCAGACTGTTCCAATTGTAATAGAATACTTTCAGGACAGTTGTCTGTACTAATAGTGTGAATATAAACAGACTCAGCTTGAGTTTATTACTCTAGACAAGTTTTATAGAGAGCTTTAGAGTAAGATACTTTTAACAGATTAGGTTGAACAGACTTAGAATAAGCTCCTCTTAACCAGACAGAAGAACTGAGATTTCTGAGAATAGTAGTTAGAGGTGACTAGAATCAACTTTAGTCTTCTAAAACTATATTACCTTTTGTTAGAACACTTTTATGAACTTCTAAAGGCTAACCTATACTCAGACCTATAGTTTAAACTATGTCTGTGTCTGACTGTATTAGTTCTAAGCTATACAGAACAGTCTACTACATAAACTAAGAAGGTCCAACTAGTAAGTATAGTAAATACACAGTTAGAGAATCTGTTAAATTATCTTCTAACCTCTCCTTCTATTCTGAGTAAGGAATCAGTCTCTTACAGTAAAAAAAAGTGTATACACAGCACCTTAGGATTGCTGACCCTCATTATTATCTACTATCTGATACTTATTATATATCTAATACAAGTCTTATTTTTCTACATCTGTTCCATTCATATTCATATTATTATTTACTAATACTATATCATCTATAGTTGTATCATTAATCATAATACATGTTAACAAGAACCTTATATTTTATCCAACTCTACTCAGTACCCTTACTCAACTATACACTGAAATATCTCTAGACACAAACTACTTTGTATTGTTTTTGTATAGTAACCTTTTAAAATCTAGAATACAGATGACAATACTCTTTCAAAAGAGCTTGAAAATTGTTGCCTGAGAGAATGAAAAGTAAGCACACCTGTCACTTAAGCTAGACTAGCTGTTAGAGTATTTGCTAGCTACTGACAAGCAACAAACAGTAGCAGAAACAGAGAAAGCAATTGTGACACAATCTGTCCTGGATCAACTAGAAGTAGTATGTGTGTCTGTGTAATGTCACTACCCATTTCCAAATGCTGAGCTGTATGGTATATTCAGGTAATTGCTGAATTAGGAAGAACACTAACTCATCCTTCTTCATCCCTGAAGATAATATTCTTGCGTTCTCGCGTTGGAAATTTCCAGATATGGGCGGGACGCAAGATAGAGGGTTCCTTGCCTTTGGGTCACGAAACGTCGGTTTAAATCCACGGTCGGTCGCAACCATACTCTTCAGGTCTTCTTCACAACAATAATGTAGTCACTTAGGAGTCAAAATACATTTAGAGAGCTTGCAAGTGAGGATCTTTTGAAAATAACAATATTAGGGTATTATAAACATAGACCAGGTGCATCTACTAAAAAGGAGAAACGCTTCCCGTTCCATTGCTGTTTGTACTGCATATAGTGCACAGCTAGAAGTTAGTGATTGTATGTGTTGCCCCGCCGCTTGTGGTGTTGAAACTGATCTTCTCCTGCCCAGCGTAAACTAGCCTGACGGGTCTCGAAGGGGCGCCCTTATCAACAGTAAGCACCACCTTCGTAGGCTTCATGTCTTCCCAAGACATATCAAGCATGATACCACCGCGTACTCGTGCGCCCAAGATCGACCCTGTAGACCATGCGGATGGAAGGGCGGGAAGGATAGTGACTGTTAACGGAATATCAAGGCTTGCAACATCAGGAGCTTGAAGCAATGCGTTCTTGACAATGCGCAGGACGAATGGGAAAGTCAGTCCATGAGAAGCAACACATTGGGGATAGTGGCAGATGACGTACCATCGCTGCAGCGGTATATCCAAAGTTTGCATCGATCTGGAAGACCGGGTTCGGATCGGCCGGATCGTAAATGCTGAACAGATTCTCGGCGAAGTTTCGGTCCACCGCGTACTTTTTAAAAATAGAGTCTCAGCTGTAGCACTTCTGGAGAACAAATGTAACTTACGGTTAGCTCATGGTAGAACATATCAGAGTCCGCGAACTGGGCCCAACAAGCCGCACGCCATACTTTCTCCCATCCCGCATCGGCATCTGGGCCAGTACCGTTGCCACGATGGATGAGGCTTGTTCGAGCCGCGTCACGGACATCGTTCACCGAATAGTTCAACTTCTGTACGTCGGGATTGTAGTTTGAAACAGCATAGCCTGGGTACAAGCCAACAAGATGCGATAAATGACGGTGTGTATCCGTTGGTGAATCCATGTCGACCTTCCATTCTACATATCCGATCATCAGTGGCACGTCTGTTGAAGTTAGTGTTTTAGACACCGAAACGCAAGTACCTTGCAGCTGTCCCCACGAGCCAATATGGATGCCCTTGTCCATTTGAGCTATCTTGGCTCTGACATCTATGGCTGAAAGTCGGAATTTGTTTGGGCTTGAAACGATTGAATTCCCATACCATTGAGGAAGGATTCATCTGTCTCGCCTGCAGCTGCTGCGCCTTTCTCTATTGCATTCAAAAGCTGCCAGATGAGCTGCTGAGAGTGTGCGCAGGCCAATGTAATCGGGGCTTGCTCGGGTGAGTTGCACGGGGCAACTACGAGCGTGCCGTCCAAGAAGTGTTCGTCTGGTATAAGCTTTTCAAGGTGGAAGAGGGCTACGCCCTGCAGTACCGGAACAGCCTCCTTCAGTACTCCGTTAGCACTAGCACATGGCACGGCATACCTTCAAAAGTGGATATCCCTGCGCCTTCCACCACGCCACGTCATTCGTGTAATCAAAGTGGTCCCAGACATTCAACATCTATATGCCTAGTTCCATTACATCCCTAAATAGTGAATCAACGAATGCCTTACCAGCCACGCGTTTGGTTCTTATATTAGATACATGTCAGCAGTGTCAATCAATGAAGATGCGGCTCCATACCTGGGTAATCGTACCACTCCGCCTCTCCCACCTTCATGCCAGTATATCCAAAGATCTTAAACACTTATAAGAGATGACTTTTGAACTTAATTATATATCAACCTTACGTTTAACTAGGAACAAAAAATGTCATCATGGAAATCGCCTAATCGATAGAACATGCCCAGCGTACTTACCTCGGTATGTACCACCCATCCTTGAGTGATATTGTAAAGGACTTGCGCTGTGTAGGCTCCGCGTGGTGCATAAGTTTTCTTTATGCGTATTTAACGTGAGATAGATAAGCTCTGTACCTTGTTAACATACTACTCACCGCTATGTAGTTAAAAAGAGGCTTCGAGACATCTAAATTCGTCATCTCGGCGAGCCAGTAGTTCATTTCCACATTTATGTCCAAGTCTGTATTCAAATAGCGGGGTCAGAAAATTGACGGGTAAACTCATATCCCGAACTTACGATAGTCCGCCCCCCATGCAGGAAATGCATCAACAGCCCATTTCCCTTGCAAGTTTGCAGGTAATATTCCGCGCGAAGAACTTGCTAAGAGATGACGACCATAGTTGAACAGCAGCCATTCGACATATACGTCTCCCTTATCAACCGTGTAAGCGTTAATCAGCTTGTCTGTCGATGTATCTAAGTCAGCTTTTTGACCAAGATCGAGAGAGAATGCGTGTAAGGTTGCTTCATAGTCCGCAACATGATCAGAGAGAAGCTCCGAGTACGATTTCTTGGAAGCACTAGAGAGCAGAGGTACGAGGTCATCATGCGGGTCGGGACCTCGGAATGAAAAGTTATGAACTGCATCCCCTGCATTTATATCATAGTTCGTTCCACCGACCCATACAACGGATGCAGAAGTCACGTTAGAGACAGTGATAGTTGCATTCACGACATTGTCTGTGGTATCCATGTTTGGGACAACAGTACATTTGAGTGTCCCCCCTGGTGGAACGGCGACAGTCGCTAGGAGTTCATAAGCCATTCCTGGTTCGGCAACTAGGCCGTTGAGCCGGAGTGTCGCATTATCAGTGCAGGTGACATTTGGGGCAGGAAGGCCAGATGCCGCGGCAAGAGCATATGTCTGCGTGAAGCCGGAAGAGGCAGCAGTTGATGTGTTTTGTACACATGCTTGGGTGGGATGGGAGCAAAACGTCTCACTACACAAGTTTTAGTTTAAGAGAGAACATGTTTATGGACATGCTGGCAGCAGTACTCACCGTGAAAATTGAGCGTTGTCCTCATTCCAGATGGTCTTCGTTAAACCTGAGTCCAGATCCAGAAATCTCCCGAAATCCGAGATGTTAGATAACGATGAATTCTGAAGTGTTGAGACTAGAAAGCCCGCGCCTGAATAAGATCCTACGCAATATTTTAGTTTAGATATTCCATGGCAGTCTGGCATGTGCTTACCATAGGCATCAATTGGAGTCATCAAGACATCAACATCTAGATTTAATCTAGTCGGTGAGACGACTCGTATAGCGCATCTTCATGCTAGCGTACTATCGGTAATACCAGTCGAACTATTGAAAATTGACTGCCGTATACTCTGCATCGCTTGCGCCATGGCAGCTTGTTCGTCAGGCTGTTTATTTCCGCCGTTATAGGCCTGTAATCTATAGTAAAATAGTATTTCCGCGGAACCGAGCTAAATGCTTACGGGATCGGCGAAAGGACCCCCAGACCACAGGCTTTCAATGTTCAGCTGCGTTGACTCTTGCAACGTGCCCCCGGGTGTCATCGCGGCAAGGAAACCATTACCGAGTGGAAGATAATGTTGAGTCCAGATCTGACCAGGAGCATCGTACCATAGGCCATTTCCTGACGATGGAAACCCGGGAGGCGCAGCGCGGGTGACATAGAGGGAAAGAAGTATAGATGCTAGAACCAAACTCTTCAGTAAATTCCTCATACTGAGCCAGTGCAAAACCAAAAATCCGGGCGACTGATGCTTGTCTTTGCCAGTTCAACCTCACTTTTATAATAGACCGCATCTCGACATGATCGCCTCGCAGCGGGCAGGAACGGATTTGGATGGTTGGGAAATTTTGACGATTGTGAGAATATCCTTTCGGATTGGCCGTCTTCATTTTCTAATTGGCATCTCAGAGAGTGCCAAACGTAAATTTGTCCGCTATGTTGGGGATTAAATCTAGCACGTGGATGGCTACGAGTGGTTTACGGGGCAAAGGCGGTGGAAGACACGTATACGACTTGGAACAAAGATATTGTCGAAGCAACGCTTGTAAGCGTCGATAGTGGAAGACATAGGGTGCTGGTGATGCCATGCTGTACGCGATCCGGCTTGACTAGTTCGCATGCTTCGACACATTGCATTGACGTGTCAAGTTCAGTTCAACAGGATGTACATGTGCATCTGTGTGTGGGGCTCTAGGGTTCGCCCGTTAATGCGGACGAGGGATAGGACCTACGGCATGTACGCGTTAACGGTGCGCAGCAAGACGTACAAGTGCAAACTGGCCTCTCGTGAGGTCTAACGTCCGCTTTCTGGCACTGAGCTTCAAAGCGAAACGTACCATGATGGTATACCTGAGAACTTGCGCGGGTAAAATACCTGTATTAGCAGAAGCCAGCGCACCAGAGCCCATTGCAGCATGCGCTACCACAGGCATCCTAGTTCGGGACATCCTTCTTCGGTGCCGTTAATGTCCACAGTAGAAATAGAAGTCAGACCATAGTATCTTTATAGATCACGAATTCGTCTCAGCATTCTCGAGGTGATTTTCTGCGTGCATTGCCTGTGTTCCGCCTTCTTTTTTTATCGAAAGAGTCATGGAATAAATTCATGGGAATTCTGGCAGGCGAGCATTGTAGTAGTTTTGAGAAATCTAGACAGCACGGTAGCCTGGGCTTGATCTTCCAGATACTTCGTTCTAGGCACGAGTGGAAGGATGCGTTGTCAAGTCTATAATTCGCTGCCGAAGACCAGGGTTGGAACTTTGGAAGCAAAGGGTTCATGACAAGCTGCCTTGATACGTGGATCGCGGCACGTGCATTCGTTTTACTTTACGGGACGTGACACACATTTGCACATGTAGGATGACCTACCTGTAGTGTTTGTCTCTTGAGTCTTCCTGCTGGCGCATGTGGCACCTTTTGGAAAGGTAAGTTGCGTCTCTGCTGAGCTAGTTAGTCTGAGCTACCCTCGCTTCTGTCGCCGTGACTGGTTAGCCCTTCGACACCAGGACTTCAGGAACAAGCTGGCATATCGCTCATGGATTGAAACTGCAAATTGGTATCCTTGTCATCCTGGAGCATGCTTCGGACCGAAGATATGCCTCTGGAGCGGACTGAGAAGCATACAAGAGCTTATTCACGAAAGATAGCTCCACATGAAAATGCTCATCACTTGACCAGGTTGCACGTAATTTCGTGGCTAGTTAAACCTTTGTTTGAGTAATATAGATTCCCCGTATTCAGTAAAGCTGTGATACGTCACTCATACAACCAAATGATTTAAAATGGCTACATCATCTTCCGTCCGTGTCATATTTCTGCTGTAAATATACAAGCAAAGGAGAATAAGGACTATCCTATTAAAGGGAAATGGAGGGAAACACTTCGCCGGTAACAGGACGATCGTCCGTACTTGGCAACTAATTAAGTACTGGCAGTCAATCCTGCGTTGCCGAGTTCTCATCGCAGCTCAAACCCAGAGATCACCATTCCACTTCTGTTCTTGTCATACGCCAGGTATGGGATCCAAAAATAGTGCCGCTCCTCTAGCCGTCTCCTGCTTGCGCTGCCGTCACATTCCATATTCCGCTGAGCTTTGGATGACCCCTTTCAGCTAATGGTGCGGTTTCAGGCAGACCGCTACTTAAATAACTGAGCTATATTTTCTCTGTTCCAGGGCTGCTGGAGTCCTCAAAAGCCCAATCTCCCTCGTTGTTTTGATGGAACCCATGTGAAGGATAGTTCTATTTCTTTATAATACATTATAACTATCTCGGTCTTAGCAAATAGTTTTTTTAGATTGGGTACTTCATCTCTGCGTCCTTGCATTCTCGGACATTCGGATCCTGAGCAAATGCATAATCAACATAACCCTTGGGACTCATCCGTGCATAGAATGTTGGGTAATCATATGGTGTGAACTCGATGTTGTCCTTTATTCGATGTGGTAAATCTGGCTGTCAATAGATAGCGTATATAAGAAACACGGGATAAACAAGAGGTGGATTGGCAACTTACATTGGATATGAACCACCTGCCAAACACAACAACATCGCCATTTTCCGTTCGATGCAGCGCGGTAGCACGATCATGTCCAGAGGCGCTTAAGAAAACCACTTCGCCGTCTTTCCTTCCCTGCTTCCAAAGATTCCTAGCAAAGTCATTCGAGTCGCCTTGTCTGGCTCCTTCTACAACATGAAGGTAAGCAAGCATCGGATGCCGACAATGTGCTTCGGTTATAAGGTACGAGAAGGTAGGTAGCGGGTCTGCCATACGCATCCCTAGGTATTCATTCCATGGGGATACGCGAAGACTTGTGCGTTCTGCTCCGACGGCGGAGACCACCGCGTCCAGAACACGAAGTGGAAACTTGGCACGTGCAGAAATAGAATCTCCGTATGAATCGTTTCGGACGTTAGAGCTGGAGTTCGTCAACTTCTACAATTCGCTGCATCACCTCAAGACTATTATTTTGGACTACTTACACGTCCTGCAGGAATTGATCTAAAAGATATCCATTCGCACAATTAATTTCAACACCATCGAATCCTGCGCTGATCACTGCATTCCTTGCAGCGTGTGCGTAGTCCAGGATATACTCGTCAATCTCTTCCTCAGTAAGCGGCCGCGGCCTGACATCAGGTACGCTCCTGTCGCGTTTCCTAACTGGAATATCTGAAGCAGACACAAATGGAAAGGTCTCAGCATCGACACCAGCCTTTGCAGCTTCCTCGGCCAAAACTGCAGCATCAGCGGCACGCCCAAGTGCCCAGAGCTGGAGGAATACGAATGACTGCTGAGCGTGTACCGCTTCTACGACCTAATGCATCATTCATCAGAAAACCGCTTCTGTCGCTATTTATAGCTCTGCGCGTATGGACACCCTACCATCTTCCAGGCAGCGATTTGGGCTTCATTCCAAACACCAGGAGCATTGTAGCAGCCCCCTGCACGAGGCGCAATAATTGTACCCTCGGTGATAAGCAGAGTTCCTGGTGTGCTCGCACGCTGCGAATAGTACTCGACCATCAAACTTGTAGGAGTGTGTTTGTCATCGGCCCGGTACCGTGTCAGTGGGGCCATCACTATCTTATGCTGTAACATGACATTTCCCACTTTTATGGGCGCGAATAGAGGATGTCCAGAGAGGTCTGGTGGGTTAGCCATTGCCCGGCCTTCAAATGAAGCAACCAGGCAATCAGATCCTTTATAAACAAGTGGTTGCGCGAGACGTTTCTCACGATGCTGGGAAGGCAGTCATGAAGTAGCCCATCTCATTAATCCAGATGAACGCATCCTCGAAGCCATAAGTACGCTTCCTTCAACACCATGGGCCTTGATACCGATAACAGTTACCAGCCAGCGAGATCTAGAATTTTTTGATATCAAGGACAGGTCACAGAGTTGGAGTAGGCCACAACTCTTGAACAGTGGGTTGGAAGATTAGTGATTATCCGGGATTAATGCTACTTCAGCCAGCAGACACCAGAGTGCCCGAGGACGAGACGAGCAACTTTTGGAGTGGAGTGAAAGAGGAAACTTGTTCCCATGTTGAATCGGAATTGCGTGATTGGCTAAGACGCGTTTTCCGGATCCGCCCGATGTTTCGTCATCTGAAATCACTCACCGCCGTTGACTGCTTCATCCGTTGCCTCATCCTTTCTGCCACCCTCGTCGTCTAACAATGCCGCTGGCCCGCTCGTCACTGTTGAATACTCTCCGCACAGCACGTTCAACTTCGACGGTTGTGCGCACCTTTGCGTCCTCCGCGGCTCGTGCACAGGCTGAGCCTGTTCAGAAGCCGGAGATGTACAAGGAGTTCAAAATCTACCGTTGGGTAAGTCGCAATGATGGACGCTACGAAGTTCCTGGCGACTAAAGTATAACATATTGCAGGACCCAGAGAACCCGTCGAAGAAGCCGGAACTACAGTCCTACAAAATCGACCTTAACCAGTGTGGTCCAATGGTAACGTACTTCATAATATCGCTCGACTGCTTCATAGTCAGCCTAATTTTCGATATATTCCAGGTCTTGGATGCTCTAATCAAAGTAAAGAATGAGATGGACTCAACACTGACATTCCGGCGTTCATGTCGAGAGGGTATTTGCGGTTCTTGTGCCATGAACATCGACGGTGTCAACACACTTGCGTGCCTGTGTCGAATCGACAGAAACACCTCAAAGAATTCAAAAATCTACCCCTTGCCTCACAGTATGCGGTTCCTCTCCCTCAGCGCCTTTCTTTTGTGCTGATACCTGACGTCAAACACTAGTGTACGTAGTGAAAGATCTCGTGCCGGACCTGACGCAGTTCTACAAGCAATACAAGTCCATTGAGCCGTGGCTAAAGAATGACAACCCGCCAGAGAAGGGAGAATACCTGCAGAGCCCGGAGGACAGGAAGAAGCTTGACGGGATGTATGAATGTATTCTGTGCGCATGCTGTTCGACGAGTTGTCCGAGTTACTGGTGGAACCAGGACGAGTACCTTGGTCCTGCAACCCTCATGCAAGCATACAGGTGGATGGCAGACTCAAGAGTATGTAAATTCTAATACTTTCTCACGCGAATAAAAAGGGGACCGCGGAGCTGACGGGTGATTCTAGGACTCATACAAACAGCAACGAGGGGAGAAGCTACAGAACGACCTCAGCATGTATCGATGCCACACTATTTTCAACTGCGCACGAACATGTCCGAAGGGACTCAACCCTGCCATGGCTATCGCGAAGATCAAACTTGAGCTCGCCACCGAGTAATTTGGTATCGGGTGGCCTCTTGTACACGGGGTATTCGCGTTGACTTCGTCGAGTGGTTGCATTAACCCCCATTCGCAATATGATTAGCGGTCATGAAAGTCAAGACATAGGATGTAGGTTCCAGAGGTTTGGAATACGATTGATCCCAGACTCTAGCTAATTCTTTGTCCGATTCTCTGTCATTGACGCTATCTTGTAGTCAATACACAAAGATTTTATCCTCTATGTATTCCTATCTCAGTGGTGCAAATTCAAATTTGGGACATGTATCCTAGCTAGCAATATGCGACCTTGGCGACAACGTATGGTCACTTCTACGTGCGCCATGATCGTCGCAATTAATAGCCTGATAGTCAGATCCGGAGATCCAAGCCACTATACAGATTGATATGAATCATTGGGAATAGTTCTCAATTTGTGACATTAAAATTGTAAAATAGCCATTTTAGCAAGACCTTATGTGTCAGCGACAGTGTAGAGGGGACCCGAAGGCTCAGCAAGGGGACCCAGGCTACAACTATCCTACACAACAGAAATACGGAACGCAAGCACTGGAACGTAGTCGGAACTCACAGAACAGGCAGAGAGAGAGAGTGAGACAAGAGTAGGGTATATAGAGTGAGCCTAAGAGTACAGGACTATCTGGAGTAGACAAGATCAAGACTACAGGACCAGTCTGATCTTGTACGCCTATATATACTAAACTACACAAGAGCACTCAGAGAGTATGAGCTACTAAGAATGATGAGCCACAAAGAATGAAAGAAAGGAATGTTAAAGATAAAGGTACAAAGAATGAAGGGATGGATAAAGGGTAAGAGACTATAGAATGATACAAAGAATGAAGGGGTGGTCAAAGGAATGGAATGATGAAGTAAGGAAGGGTAGTAGTAAGAGTCAGCATACATATAGTTCATAGACAGTGCCCCTGAGGGACAGAAGTCCTGAGTTCCAGTATGGAAGGGTGTGGAACCCTCAGAACTGAAGGTGCAAGAGTAGAGAACCATAACATCACCCCCCCTCTAAAACCAATCGTCCTGATTGGTGAGTATTGGGCTTGGTTAGTAGCTTAGGCATAGGTTGGAACAGTAGGGTTTAGAAATCTGTAAGGCAGAGTTGATGCAGAGCACCCAGATGAAGTTGATAGAAGTCTCAGATTGCCTTAACAGTATGGGTGAGATTCTCAACAGGTTCCCAAGTGTGTTCTTCAACTGAGTATCCCTTCTAGTGGATAAGGAACTTGAGCTTTCTGTGCACCAGCTTGGCATCTACTACATACTCTACTTTGTATTCTGGTTTGGAACTGATGAGTTCTGGTAGAGGCAGTAAGGGTCTTTGTTACAAAGGAAAACCTGGATCATAGTATTGAGACAGTAGAACCTTGTTAAACACTAGGTGTATGTACTTCCATGTTGCTGGAAGTTGGAGTTTGTAAGCAGAGGCACTAACCTTCTTTTTAATAACAAAGGGTCTGAAGTGCTTGTTGTCCAACTTCTTCATTAGACAATCTGTAGTCAGGTTAGTGGCTTCTAGTATAACTTTGTTACTAGGCTGGTAATCCTTAGCTACAAACCTCTTCCAATCATAGTTCTGCTTCATGACCTGTGCTGCCTTTTCCAAAAGAGCTTGTGTGTCCTCCCTGGTTCTGTGTATCCATTCTACAAAGTCTGTTACAGATTCAGAACTACTGTTCTGGTTCAGAACTGTCCCTTAGTACAAATGTCTCTCATGATTGAGGAAGAATAGGGACTGTCCTGTTGTAGAGTGTTGCTAGTTATTGTGTACAAATTCTGCCAGAGCTAGCCATTCAGACTAATCTGATTACTAATGATTAATGAACATCCAGAGGTAGAGCTCAATCTCCTGATTGACTCACTCAGTTTGACTGTCAGTCTGTGGGTAATAGGTAGTAGAAGGGTTCCCTTGAATTCTGAGAAGCACATACAAGTCCTACATGAATTTTGACTCAAATTACAGTCTGCAATCATGAATGAGCTTCTAAGGGAGTCTGTGTAACTAGAAGATGTGATCCTAATAAATGCACACTATACCTTCAGAAGTGAGTTCTGTTTGGGTTGGAACTGTGTGGACTTGCTTAGAGAATCAGTTGACAATCATACAGATAGTATTGTAACCCTAAGACTCAGGTAGCTTACTAATCAGGTCTACTAAGACTTCTTCCTAAGAGTGATCCAGGATCTGATACAGATGTAGGGGGGCCTAAACCCTTGTCTAGTGGGCCTTAGTCTGTTAGCACATATTACAACTAGTCATGTACTTCAGGATTTCCTTCTACATTCTGGGCTACTAGTAGTTCCAAGTGATGAGTTCCTGTGTTTTGTGTTGTCCCAGATGTTCTGTAGTTAGATTGTTGTGATAAGCTCAGATAATGTCCTCCTACAGTTTCTGATCCTTCAGAACATACAGTCAGCCTTCCTAGTAAACCTGTCTATCCTTATCCTCCTCCCAATCCCTAGCCTACTTCTCTAGTTACTTTACTACAACCCAGTCCTGTGTGTGTCTTAGAGCTTACTGTATATAGGTAACAAAGTCAACATCCTTAGATTCAAGTTGGATCTCTTGAATTGTCTTGGACACAAAACAGGAATTGTCTAGGAGAACAAGATTTTTGTTATCATTCTCCCCCCTTTCATAACCTACTTGTCTTAAGAGTAAATCAGCTTTTGTTATTTGTGTTCTGGGTTTGTAGGTCAGTACAAAGTCATAGTCTTACAGTTCTAACATCCAGTAGGCCTGACAGCAGTTGAGCTTCTGAGGTGCTTAGAAGTACTAGAGATTAAGGTGATCACTCTAGATCTCAAACTTCTACACTACACTGAGGAGATATTAATACTACTCTTCTAAGGAACAGACAATCACAAGGAGTTCCTTGTCATAGATAGAGTAGTTCTGTTCTATTGTAGAGAGGGATTCTGATCAGAACACTATCAGACACTACTTTCTGTCAATGAACTAGGACAGTACTACTCTATTTGTAAAGTTGGAAGAGTTGGCTTCAACTCAGAACTTGTCTGTAACTGTCAGAACTACTAATATAAGCTTACTAGTGATAGCCTGCTTGAGGGACTCAAATGCAGACTGCTACTGATCATTCTATTGCTAAGGAACATCCTTGCTAGTAAGATTATGAAGAGGCTGGGCAATAGTACTGAAGCCTTGAATAAAGTGTTAGTAGTAGTTTACAAACCTAAGAAACACTTGGACCTGTTTCAGGTTCTAAGGTTGTAACCAGTTCCAAACTGTAGTCACCTTTGCTAGATCCATACAGACCTCTCCTCCACCAATCATGAAGCCTAGATAATTTACTGACTCCTGTACAAAAGAGTACTTTGCTTCTTAGAGAAACAGTTTATTATCTTAGAGCTGTTGTAGAACTGCTCAAATCAGTTAGTAATAGTGCTTGACTGTCTGGGTGAAGATCAGAATGTTGTTCAGATACACACTAATGTAGCCTGAGTTAATCAGATCTGTAAGGATGTAATTCATGAATGACTAGAACATTACAAGTAAGTTAGTTAGTCTGAAGAACATTATAGTCAGTTTGTACAATCTGTAATTGGTTCAGAACACAGCCTTCCACTCATCTCTGTCTCAGATCCAAATATTATTGTATCCCTATCAAACGTCTAACTTAGTGAAAACCCTGGATGTATGTGTCTTATTAATGAGCTCCTAAATCAGAGGGAGTGAGTACTTGTTTTTAACAGTACCCTCATTAAGACAATAATAATCCTGGACTGGGCAGAGCTTTCTATCTTTCTTTTTGACAAAGAAGAAAGAGGAGGCTATAGAGGACTTTGAGAGTCAGATCTAGCTGTTCTGAAGATTTTCCTGAAGGAACTTGTCAAGCACCTCCTGCTTGTCTCTGTTGAGTAGGTAGACCTTACAATCCTTAGGTTGGAAACCCTCAGTCAATTCAATTATATAGTCCTAGGAGTAGTGTTCAGGAAGCTGGTTGAATTCCTCTTTACTGAAGACTTTAGGGAACTCTCAGACAAAATCTGGCAGGCTGGGTCTGTATACATTCTAGAGTAGAGTTGTTCTGAGGGGGTTCTAGACTGGTTCTGTCTTGGACATCCTTTAGATTGACTCTATTCTGTCTTGACTAGAATATGTATCCACATATCTATCCTAGTTGAAGAAGAACAACTGGTCACCTTCATTAGAACTGTTAGTAACATTAGAAGTGTCTGTATTCACTTGGAACAGTAGTACAAGGTAGCTGTAAGACTTGGGACACTAATCAAACACAAGTGTCTACTCTAACTAGTCAATAGTAGGGTTGTGAGTCTTGAGCCATTCAAATCCAATAAAGATGTCTGTCTTTCTAAGGTTAGTGACTCTAAACTCAATGCTTTCCTTATGATCCTGAATGGTCATCTGTAGTTGGACAAACTTGGTGATCCAACCATTCCAGTTCAGAGTTCTGTCTGTATTGTATACTAGGATCAGAAGTAGAACACATTAAGTAGGGAGGTGGTGTTTCTGCACAAAGGCCTTATTGATACACAAACTAGTGTATCTACTGTCTACTAGAACTGTTGTTCAGATCTGGGGGGATCCTAAGAAGGGAGCTAAGAGGATGGGGACCTGGAGCTAGTGTCTAGAATGTTCTTAGATGAACTGCTACTTGTTCTGAAGGGAATGTACAGCTTGTACAGTCTTGTTGTCTGAGAGGGTAAGTATATGTACTAACATTTCCTCATTAACCTCTCTCTTTCAACAAGGACAGACTCATGTCCTCAGCTGTGAACTCAGCTGAAGCTATCCCTACTTAATACTACAGACAAACTACTGAGTAGTAAATAGGGCTGGGTAATGTTCTGAATGTTCTAAGATCTTAGAATGTAGAAGTAGTAGGTTGGATTGTACAGATTTAGACTTGGATGAAGTGTGAAGAGAAGAATCAAAAGAATCAGAAGAAATAGGAGAACTATTTACTTTTGTTTTTGACTTTTTTCTATCTAATAAATAATTTTGTTGATTTATTTTTTCTACTTTTTCTACTTTTTCTACTTTTCTTACTTTATTTACTTCTAATCCTACAGTGTCCATTGAATCAAAAGTAACCATTAAAAAATCTGAGTCATAGCCCTTCAGTACTACATTCACTGTTGAGCCTCTACAAAATCCTAGGGTACATAGTCAGAGTCTAAGAGTTCTGAGGTGACTTCTGGATTTACAGAAAAGGCTTCTTACTATAAATCCTACTTGTCACTCATTATTACTCTAATAACCTGACAGATATACTATTACTTCTACAGACAGTCCTTAATTTGGTGCCCTGACTTTCTGCAGGCAAAGTATGCTCCTTACTTTCAGGCTTCTCTAATGTCTATCAGAACAGATTGATTGCAAATTACAAGCAGATTGATCCAAGGGCTTGGAACTGTCAGAGCTGAATGTATGTACAAGTGTTCTACACAGACTTGACACATCCAAGCTACAGCTTAGTTGAAGGAGATGGTACATGTCTTCCACTCAGTGTAGGTGACTAGTTCTAGTGTCATTCTGAGAATCTTATCAACCAGTTCTGGGTGAAGAGCTTTTTCAAGCATTCTAATGAGGACATTATCAAACCTGAGTATGAATCCTGCCTTCTAGGCCAGGATATTGAACTCCTGAAAGAAGGTATTAGTAGAACATTTGCCCTGTCATAGAGACACAAGCTTGTTCTACACATTGTGCTTCTCATTCAGATTAATGAAGGAAGCATAGAGCTGCCCTATGAATTCTGAGTACAACTTGTTGTTCTAAAGTTGGATCAGGCTTCCAATCTAATGACCTTTGATCCAGTTCTAGGCCCAGGTGGCTGTATTACCTTCCTTCATGAAGGAGAGGACAAATAGGACACAATTGAGATCTGAGGATAGATTGGTTGAAGTAGTAGCCATGTATAGTTTGACTTAGCACTGGAAGTCCTCAAAGTGCTACTCATTAAAGTCTAAAGGGCAGGCTATATACACTTTCTTTCTAGAACAGGTTGTAACTTCCAGAACAATTAGAACAGGTTCTGAAGGGGCTGAGGGCATGTGGTTGGTAAAGGCCTCTTAGATAGAGGTCTACACATATTAAGCTAGTTTTACTTGTAACTACTGATCTGGCAGGACAGTAGGGGTGGCAGTTGGTGTAGTAGGGTCCATGTTTACACTACAAAGGAATTGACACTAAACTAAAAGGGGTAATGAATAGAAGAAGGGTGGCAAAAGTTTAAAAGGG